TAGGTGACTGAATATTTTTTTAAAAACCTTCATGCTAAAGCCAAAACTAGTTAGAAATCATATGAAATTTTGTGCAACCTAGGGAGGTTTGGATGACAAACATTAATTGAAAACAGGTTTAAGCAGAAAGTCTTAGGATGTGTTACTTCCTAGCATTACTACTATGACCTGCAGTACCTGTGTGGTGAACCTTCAGTGTTGGCTTCATCAGTCAAATAATGCAAAAGTCAGTTGAAGAGCAGAACTGATTGAAAACCAGTTGTATATGAAACTTTTTGCAGAGTTAACTGAATTGGAAAGCCCAGTTGTCCATTTTTCTGCATTTTACAAAGGAATTGAAATCTTTCCAACGTGAGTGTGGCATACTGGGATAAAGTGGAGCATTCTCATTTGGTAGAGTTGTACCTTTGTCAGGCAGTTTGTGTGTTACTCTTGTGGAGGAGACTAAGATGGGGGAGACTGTATTTTAAGTAATCTAATAATGATGGAGGTTCAATTTGGGGAAAAAAAAAAGGTGTGGTTTGGTAGAAAAAAGAATTGCATTTGGACATGAAAAATTAGTGGTGTGAATACACCCTAGGAAGTGACCAAAAGTTCAGCAGCATGAATCTAATGATTATAGTGAATTCCAAGGTGAACATGAATTAACAGTGTGAGTTTTGTGAAGAAGCCAAAATCATATTCTGAGATATATGAGTAGAGGCATAGTCTGTGAGATGCATCAACATTATCCTTCCACTCTACTCAGCATCAGTGAGATCTTGATCAGAGTAGGGTCTGTAAAGAGCAATGAGAATAGTCAAAGTCTATAAAACATGGCTTGCAAGAAAGGACTGAAGGTGTTGTTTTAATAAGAAGGGGAGACAGTTGTGCATGTGAGTTAGATATTATGGGGAAAGGCAAAAAATAAAAATGTTTCAAGTGAAACCCATTCAATTTCCTGGAAAGATGGTGGAGTTCCTGAGGCTGGAAATCTGTAAGATCAGGTCAGGCAAACATCTCTCAGGAGTGACGGGAACAAGCTAGATGATGCCGTGTGGTCCTTTCAGGCTTTACAGCTTTCTGATGTGCAAGTGTCTTCCCAAAGTGCAAAGCAAGGGGAATATAAACTCTGAGCCTCCTCATCCTGTTTTTGTAGACCTGACTGATCCCATGTGGTTGAGTGCTCATGAGGGTTTGCTCTTACAGAGTTCCCAGTGGCTCTGCAACCAGACATGTTTGGTTTGAGGGGGACGTAATGCCAAAGTTACTGTAGTCTGGAGGCTCCAGTGGGACATTGTCTGGAACAGGTGAGTGCCAGGGAGAGTATGGCACTTAGAGGAGGGGAGGTGGGACAGGAGATCAAAAAGCAATTGGTGTGAGGGCAGAGGTCAGGTGCTAAAAAAACCCTTTTCAGATATAGTCCGTTTCAAGCATTGGAGAGGATCAATGTGTAAGTCATATTCAGAGGTGGGACTGATTTAGCAGTGGTCTTAGCTGCAGCTGCTGTTTGCAGTCTCCTTTAAGCAACACTTCAGTTTATATACCCTGCCTGGGAAAGCCCAAATCTTTCAACCTCAAGGTTTCCAAAACATGTAGCAGCTGGCCAGCCCCAGCCGCTCGCTGCTGTTGGAGGTGAAGGTCAGAGTTGTTCCTGAACCCTCTTCCCGTTGGAGGAGCAGTGGCAGAGTCTCATGTGGGAAAGGCTTCTGAGTCAACCACAGAGTGTGCGGCTAACCCGTGAGGCGGAGGAAAGCCTCCACGCTGTAAAAATAGCCACACCAGGCTAATACACTTAAGTGCTTATTTTTCCATATGTGATCTCATGCAAACCAAGCTGCTGGGCAGTATGACATAGCAGTTGGCCAAAAATAAAATGTAACTCAATCAAAAATTTTTTTTTTCTGAGGTTAACCTTTGCTGGGTGGGAAGGACAGGTACTCCGTTTTCTCATTTCCATTAAGTTATTGTTAGAAAAAAAAATCCAGGGGAGAAAGCCAGGTGAAGATGGGATTGACACTTGGTATCCATTTTGCGATGATGGCCGCAGGTTAAGGATAGAAATTGTAGCTCTCTTGCACAGGAAAGTTACACCTATAAAACAGTGAGAAAATATACATGGGATTTCTCTGGGTGCTTCTCCAGCTGATTTCACTGAACTGAGTTTTGGTGGGCATTTGATGCTGCAAAAAAGTTAGAGACTTGATAGCATTTGAAGCTGAAGCCCACAAAGGTGACCCAGTATCAACAGCCTTGGAACAAGGTGCTCTAATCCCTGTTGGTAAGCCTCAGAAAAATCTTTAGAGGCATTTAGACGTTCATTTTCCTTCACTGTTTGATGCTTGGCCTGTTAGTTGATTTTTTTTTTTTTTTTTTTTTGGTCAATTGTGGTAGGTCTGTGTTGTGGAAGGAGGGTGGAAACCATGAAACCTCTTTGGCAAAAGCCACTGAATGCCAGTAAATGCTGGTTTGACACTGTCCTGACAGGGCTGGCATTACACTCTTCAGGAAGAATAGTGCTTTACTAATCCTTTGCTATTAGAGAAACAGACAGACCCAAGGAATAGGATTGCTTTCATCCAGCCTAGAAAATGGTGAAGAACCTTTGTAGTCCTGAATTTCACATGCAGAAGCATGTGCGTCTCATGGCAAAACTGTGGATAGAAACAGGCAGATTTTAGGTGGTCTTTTTTTCTAGCTATTAACGTAACTTTTAATGATTTCAGGTTCTGTCTCTTGTAAAGTGAAAGCCAGGGGAGAAGATCGCAGACTTCTCAATCTTGTCATTATGCTTCTCCTCTGCAGGGCCTCTGACCTGTTTCTGCTGGACACACGGGCGGTGTGGGCCTCAGAGGAGGGCTGGCTGGAGTTTGATGTCACTGCCACCAGTAACATGTGGGTGATGAACCCTCAGCACAACATGGGACTGCAGCTGAGCGTGGTGACCCAAGATGGTAGGTTATGGGCCAGTTAATGAGAGTCACCTCGCCAGTCTCTTGGATGCTGTCTCAAAGTGGTGCTAACAGGGTCCAGTTGTGATATGGGGGGTGAGCACCCTGCTTTCGTAGGCAGCTGTAGCCAACACCATGAGCAAGGCATCTGAGGGCACAGATTATGGGCTGTCAGTTCTTGGCTGTCCCATGATGGACATGTCTTTCAGTATGAGTGAGGTCAGGTGTCTGAACTGTGCCAGGATGAGCTGGTGGAGGCAGGCTGGGGTGGGGTCCCAGTTCCTGGCTTGGAGATAGAAGGGGATGTGGAGCTGAGCTCCCAAGTAGGGTAAGGTTTAGGGGTGAGAAGAAGAGAAGAGGGCAGGTATATAGGTATGCGCCTCCCCATGTAGGATTATGGCAGCCCTCGTGGCTGCTGCAGCTGCCGTCGCTGCTTGGATCTCATCAAACCTGAGGTGGGAGCCCTGCACTAGAGAAGCAATGCTGTCGCTGTGTGGGGCTGGTCCCTCTGAGTGCAGCTGCAGTGATAGCATTTCACAGCCCACAGAAACTTTGAAAGGTGGAAAATGAGAGAAGAGACTGCAAAAGAGCGTGAAATTGAGTGTTGGAAGATAAGCAGTGAGGAAGGAGAGGATGTAGATGAGCAGAAGGTGACCAAAAAGATGACAGAGTCCTCTATAGGAACCAGTCTCCAACCTTATGTTTTCTTCCTGTCACTTAATGCTGGAATTTGGTACACCTGTGGGGTCAAGTGAGACCAGAGGGGCTGTCCACTGTTCTCCCCGAGGAAAATGTTAATGCCAGCTTCCACCTCCCCAAATGGGCTGAGTGTCCGTCCCTGTGCTCCTGACAAAAGCATCCCATCTCTTTGCCCTCTGCTTTCCCTAGTTGTCTCTTAATCCTATCTCTGCTGTGTTTCACGGGCAGCAGAACTAATTTCATGACACATCTGGACTTTGTGTTTTATGCATCTATCTGTATACCTGTTCAATGGCTAAACCAGAGTAGAGATGCCATAGGGGTACCAAAGAGCCACGTGCTGCAGTCGAGCCTCTTGTCCAGGATGGATGGGGTGCTGTCCATAGGTCATGGTGGCAGGAGGGCAGTGTTTAGTGATTAAAGAAGGAGAGTGTGAGCAAGAAGAAAGGAAACACTGCTTAGGGGGATGCTGCAATGCTGGAAGGAGCAATCCCACCGAACCATTTCTCTAACACTCACTTTTCTGTTTGGTTTGAAGGTTTCAGCGTAAATCCTAGAGAAGCAGGCCTTGTAGGCCGAGATGGTCCTTACGACAAACAGCCCTTCATGGTGGCCTTCTTCAAAGTGAGCGAAGTTCACGTACGGACCACTAGGTCAGTGACGAGCAGGCGCAGGCAGCAGAGTCGGAACCGCTCCACCCAGGCTCAGGATGTTTCCAGGGTGTCTAGTGTCACAGGTAATCAGGCAACACAAGCAGGGATGACTTCTTGTAATGTTTCTGTTTGCTTTGGAGTGCAAAAGCAAGAAGGGGGATGTGAGGTGCGGTACTCTTCCTTGGGGGAACAGGTTACATCTACAAGGGGGTGGAAGAGGGGGTCTCACATAATGAGACTTACAGGAGTTCTGTTGAATCCAGGGTGGAGCCCAGACCCCCATGCGAAGTTGCGGCCATTGAATTCAGGGGGGTGAGGTGTTTTAACCCCAACTTGTGCTTGTAGGTTACTTGCTATGCAGTATTTGCCTAGAATTATGCCATGTGAAATGCAGTATTTAAAAGATTCCATCTCTGTGTACACTGAGATTTATGGTATTGCACATATGCATTCTCTTTCAGTTTTCTCTGGAAAAATCAGCATGAGATCTTTTATTTTTTTCCCCTGTGAGAAAAGCAGCATATAAACAGTGAAGTGCATTTCCAGGCAGGCAAGGAGGCTTGCCTCTCTGCTGTGGAAAGGTTGCATGTTGCAGGTGGTGTACAGCAGCCTTGAGAGTGTTGTTGCAGGCTGGTGGCACAAGAGGATAACACTGAAATTTTGACAAAAATTGAGAGTGTTCCATCTTCTAAGTCTTGTCTGTTTTCCAGCCACTCTGTCCTGCATCACAGTGCTTTGTTTATTGAATACCTTCTTTCCTCTCGAACATTTCAGCCTGTTCCAAGTTACTTGATTAATATGCTTATGCTGCCCCCTTCATTTCCAATAGGATCCTTGCTTTTCCCGTGTCTAGAAATGACTATATGCCAAGGAAGAAAGGTGGCTGTATTGTTTAGTCTATGTCCGCACAGTGTGAGGAGATGAGCAAGCACTGCTGAAACTTAGCCAGTGTGAATCCGTAGGCTATCCCCTGCTCTTGCATGCTCAGGTTGTGAGTAAGCCACGCTGAACCTGAGGTGGCCCGGTGCTGGCCATGGCATTGGGAGACTGCAGGGAACCAGAGCCAGGCTGGGAGTCCCTCCAGGGCTGGCAGCCAGGCTTTGGGCATGGCTGTGTGCCGATGCAGCCTTACTGCTCCAGCTCACTGTGGTGATGGAGTTGCCCTTTGGGCTAGTGCATGCCAGCAGCAGTTGGCCACTAGCAGTCATTGTGTGTCCTCATGGTGCACACCACAGCGTGGCTGTGGGTTCCCATGCCATGCCACGCAAGCAGCGGACTCATTTGGGTGTGAAATGTTGCTTCATGGAATTTAAGGAAAGGAGAAGTGACTCGATCCTGCAGCCTGACCTCCCTGAGGGAGGCCAGCCAGTGCCAGCATGGCATTGCTGGATGAGTTACCATCTCATCTTGCATCTCTCTGCCAGTCCCAGCAGTGGAGCCGACTGTTGGTCCCAATTGCTGGGACCCGCTCTGGACTTGGTTTTCCTTGGGAGCCTCCAAGCTGCAAGCACCACAGCTACTCCACGGGTTACTTTCCCATGTGAGGGGCTTGCCCAGGACATAGCTAGTTCATTCATCTGAGTGTTACAAGCTCAGCTTTTACGCAGGCGGTGTGCAACTGTCCCACTCAGGTGGGCTCAGTTGCCATGCTCCCTTCATCACAAGAGCCAATACCTTTGGGAAAGTTACTCGCTGTGTTGCTTTTTAGTGGTGCTGGTAGTGGAGTCAGGACAGGCTCCAGCTTTCTCTCCCCAGCTCTACAAGTTTGTAGTGCTAAAAAGAAGTTTTTACTACTGTTAAATCAGGTGATGTGACTCAGAGCTCCAGAGGGAGCAGATGTATTGAGCAAAAAGGGCCATTTTTACATCACTGCTTTCTTGACTGTGCCACACATAAGGTCATAAAATGACAAAAAGGGGAAAAAAATAGCTGGTCATTCTGTGGTCTTGAGGGCTTTTTTGAGCTCCTCTAGCTCAAAGCCAGCTTTAATTTAAAACCTGAAATTTGGCAGTTCGGTAGTCAACAAGGTATAGTTGAACCTCTGTGGATTTAAGGCGGGGGAAAGAAGGGGAATTTTAAGTTAAGATGTACGTTTGGTTAGTTTTTGTGTTTAGAAAAGAGAGACTACATCAGCTTATTTTCCTTTCTAAGTGTGACACTCTTAGACTCTGTACTCCTTTAGAAGTGGTTGATTTAGTAGCCCAAGAGGAACCAATGACCAATATATGTTTTTAGTGTTAAAGAAATCACATGGATTGTTTCTTTTTTAGTTGTGTGGGTTTCTACATCCACGCCCCAATGATGCATGGCAGGGCTGGTGAAGTGTTTGCCCCAGGATGAAGCAGGAGGTGAGCCCAGCAGTTAGGCTGAAGGCTGCCTTGCTTTTCTGAGGGTGCCTTGTTGCATCTGGACCCAAAGCGGGTACAGAACTGGGATGCTGCCGTCCCCTCCTGTGCATCTTCGTCTGTTGTGGTATCTTATGTCTTGTCAGATTTTTCGTCTGTGCTCTTCCCTGAGCCAGGATTGCCACTGCCTATGAGGGCTTGAGGGCAGTTTCTCTCCTTGGAGAGCAAGACAGCTGGCTGATGTTGATGTTTTTGTGTAGATGTGAATGATGTAGATGTTCCTTCCTCTATGTAAGTGAACACACAGGGTTTTCTTTCCTCAGGCCAAAAATGAATCCCTTTCTCAAAAGATGCTGTGAGTTGGGTTGGGGCAGTATGTTTAAAAAACCCCAATTTACTCTCTAAATATGAAAAGCGTTTCAAGTTCTGCAGTTCGGAGTGCATAAAGTGTGCTGCTGGGCTGGTACTGGATCTGGTGAGCCGGGGGGGGGAGTTATATGAAGGCATGCTGCTACGTGCAGGATTGGGACCCCACTGTGCTCCCTTTGATGTGCAGTTCTTCTCCTGCAGTTGGTACCAAGTGCTCAGATGCTAAGGTTGTAGCTGTGGCATAAGTATCTCAATGGTCTGTGTTTTTTTCTCCAAGAATGCACATTTCGCTGTATTATAAACATGTAGTTATGACTGGCTTATATAAAGCAGAACTGAGTAACCCTCATGGTTATAAACTGCTTTGACATATAGTCCTGCGTCAGTGCATTCCTGGAGCCAAGCTCTGTTCTTCTGCAGAAGGAGGATGAACAGGAAGAAAAGGAATTGTTTTTGTCTGCGAGGCAGAAAATCATACGCCAGCCTGGCCCAGGGTGTAGAGGAACAAGGTGGGCGGGAGGACCAAGCAGGTCTTTCTCTGCTGTTGTCTGTAAGAGCTGGAGGCCCTCGCTCAACCGTGTCTTGTGGTGGGTTTAGCTCGTGCTCTTAGGCTCCAGGCTGACCCTCTAGTTAACCTGAAGAGATGGGGACACTCTTCAACACAACAGACAGTGACCCTCGAGCCTAAGGACTTTGCTGCCATACGGCCAGCTCCTCTGTGAGTTATGGTTTCTGTACAGGGCTGTCTCCTTGTCCAGTGGTGATAACCCTCGTCTTCTGCGAGTCAGCCTTCTGGCACATCCCTTCCTCTCAGCCCCTCCTTATGGAGAGAGTTGAATTTAAATGTCCGACTTTGGGCTGTGCTTGCTGCTCTGAGTGAAACTCACACAACACCTCTTTTCGGGTCCTTCTCTTTAGCCAACCTGGGGCCTCTGGTACTGGTGTGAGGTGCTCAATGAGAAATGGAGGGGCCCTCCAAGTGGCCTTTCCTTCCAGCAGACATGCACAGCAGTAGGCAAATTTCCCAAGTGTACGGGAACCAAATACCGCAAAGGGCAACATGCACAAACCCTGAAGGCAAATAAGTCCAAATGCTTTCGTGGTGGCAAGCTGTTTGTTAATAAACATCGTTATCTCACAGCCAGTCTTCCCATTAGTAGAGCACTCCAATGCAGAGCGAAGTGGCATAGACGGAATTTCTGTATGTGCCTTTGCATGCGGGTCCACATCAGCCTGACATCTCCCCTTCTTCCCACCCAAGCAGATCGCTTTCATGTGAAACAGCCTGTTATTAACTGTGTGATCAGTTTACACCAGCTTTATCCGGACAAATCACCGAAGTCAAACACCAAGAAGAAGGGGCTGCCCTTGGAGACCTCTGTCAAAGCTATTTTGAATCACAGAAGCAATTAATTACCGTGTGGAATTTGGTAAGCTGGCACCTTGGGAGCAGCGAGGGTGTTCTCAGATGGAGCAACCTCAGTAAATATTTATATATTCTTTGCCAGCACTTAACGTGGGAGAGGTTGTAGGAAATCTAAGGTGGGTACCTAAGTATCTGTAGGAGGAAGACCATTAGGGTCAGGCTATTCTCTCTCCCCTTTCAGCAACATGAATGCCAGTGTCCAGCCTTAAGAGAAACATCTGTGCTTGCAGAAAGTCAGACTTGGGTTTGGTGAAGGCAGACAATGTTCAGTGCAAACAAGCCACAGAGACAAGTTGTCTTAACTGTGCTGTTTTAACTCTGCTGCCCTGGAAGTTATTTTTAAGTGCAAAACTAGGGGTTTGGGTTTTTTTTAAATCTCTGTTTTTGATAAAATAGTTTGCAGTGTGATTAAATGCGGTGCCTTGTAAATGCCAGGCTAGTGTTCCTGAATCGGTATGTTCGGGGGGAAAAAAAAAAGTCAATTTGGCTAAACCCCCAATGAGCCTATAGGAGCTCCCAAAGCAGCTCCCTAAACTCGCAGAGATTTTGAGGGTCTCTGGCAAAGAATCTTTGCAAATGATGTGGTGGCAGCATAAGCTGATGTGAGAATCACTCACTGCAAACCCCCTCAAACAGCAGTTTGGGCTAAAACAGCCGAGCCTGCTGGACTGAGGTAGCTGATGCTGCTTTCCAGGCTTTGGAGAAAATGCGTTGTGGAGGCCAACTTCAGTAGCTCAGTGAGCTTTAGGTCACCACCAAAAACCCTTTACTGTGTAGATTCCTCTTTTTTCAGGCCCGTAATTGGATGTACGTCCAGCGTACTTGGCTCTAGGGCATATGCCGAGCCCCAAACCACAGGGAATGGTTCATTATTATGTGCATCTGTATTGCTGCATTTTTTTTCCCCATTCAGAAAGCCACAGCTAAGGGTTGCTGAAAGGTTTGTAACATCCCTGAAGTTGGGCTAAAGTAGATTTCATAAAGTAAGCGTGGTAGGCAAATGTGTAAGAAGAAGAGAGGAACTTGGGGTAAGGGTTAAACAGGGGAGGGAGCAAATCCCAGGAGAGGGGATGTTTACTATGTTGACATTTAAGAAAGCAAAAGCTGAGTTTGGGCAAGTGAGGAGGTAGAGCTGTCTGTGTCCACCTTGGGTGGAGAGTAGCCAATGCTTAATGCAGAGTGTGAATCAAGTGACTCCAACCAGCGAATTGAGATGCGTTTTGGGGGGGGCAATTTCAGGCAGTGTGAGAGGACACGTTCATAACATGTTCTGCTTCATGTAGCTTGTTAAGTAAGCAGCTCCCCCCTCCCGTTTTTTTAAAGTCGTGATTGGTCCCAGCCTTCCTTCCCACTCCTGTTTTCTCTGCCTCCCTTGCCTTCTCCATTTTCCCGTAGCCAATTTGGGTAAGTTGTAGCTGGATTTGGAATGTAGCATCGTTCTGCTCACTCGGTTGTGAATAGATCAACTCCAGTGTAACTCCCTATCAAATACAGATGGTTTTCCCCTAAGCAAACAACATATCTCCCACTGAAGAACCATAAAGTTGTGTTTTCAGGTACTTAAATAAAAGCCTTTGACCGCTAAAAGTATCTTCTGCTCATTTTTTTTCCCTTGTTATGACCAGATCATTTAGAAACAGCACATGCTAGAAATTTGCTCCTGGGCTGAGCCAGGGACTGAAAAGCTTCATCTGAAAAAAAACACCACACCCTGGTTTCTACTGGGTATGTCTGGTTTGAAAATGGAAAGCTTGAATAGAAAGACTCGCCTCCGTCCTTGCTATCGAGCGCTCCTGAAAGAGCAATGTTTATGGTGCAGCAGGCTGTTAACCAGCTGTGCTCACCTGATTAAATCTGTGATTGAAGAGAAGCTATTGAAAGTCTGAAATGCAATCCTTAAAGTTTAAAACCCTAACTGCTTCTAAAAACACCTCTCTAATCTTTGGTGGTTTGGAGGCTAGGATTGAGGTGTAGGTTTTTTTCAGACCTCAGTGTTAACTGTACCCAGCTGTAATGTTGTGCTGCCCTTAATGTCAGTTGGATGTGCTTTTAGTATTATAGTTTTTCTTTTGAATAAATATTTGCATTTGTAGTTCCCAAACTGAGGGTGGGGGGGACACGACACGTGGAGTGAAGAAAAAGAAAGGCTTATTCAGAGCCAAGGAAAAAGGCACTAAAAATATTTTTCTATCCCAGCTGCTGCATTTGGGGAGAGCTGTGCTGGGAGGGTGCCCTTTCAAGCTGTGTTAGGGGCGCTGGGGGGGCTGGTTAACCAAAAGGCCCAGGGCAGCGGGAGGCAGGCACTTCGGTGTGGGGCATCTGCCTGCTGATGGAGGCAACTTTACTTGCAAGTGAGGCGTGTGAGAGGAGAGGAGGCCCCCGTGGGGAGGCACTGGAGCAAAATGTGGCCAGGCTGGGTCCAGCTCTGGGACGGGTGCACACGTGTCACTGCATGAATGGGGACCTGGGCTCCCGCGCTGCTCGGCCAAATTCGCCACCATCTCTTCCCATCTCTTCCTCTTGTGTTGTCCGTCGGGTGCAAAGCGTGGGTTTGGCAGCCGTAGCCAGTGGCCAAGCTGCCCCGCCGGGCAGGTGGTGTTTGTGGCGGGGCCAGCCACTCGAGGTGTGACGAAATCAGCCACCACCCGCCGAGGCTGGGTTTGTGCAGCCACCCGGGGGTGAAAGGCCCCTCTGTCACGGCTCAGCTCCTCCGCTCGCTGCGGTTCCAGGTGTTCGCGTGCGGAGCCACCTCTCTTTCCAAATATAAATGGGAAATTCCACTCACTGTCAAAAGCTGCATTCTGTAGGGCCACTGGGAGCAGCTCCTGCATGCTGGAAACATCCTCGTCCGTTGCGCCACGGCAAGGGGGAAGGTCTCTGGTCAGGGCTTTGCACCCTGCGCCCCCCTCTTCTGTGCAGTATTGACATTAAGGACCAAGTTAATGTTGAGAGTGTGTCAAATCCTCTGTCATCTGCAGATAAGCGGGTTATGGGAAGGAGAAACTTGTTTTTCAGAGTGTGGCTTGTAAAGGTCTAAGAGCAGAGGTGGTACATGGAGCTATGTGTGATGTCCGGGGCAGGCCGGGGGTAAGGCACAGAGAGAGACAGGGACAAGGCTCACTGCCTATGGGACATCTTCGCTTTTAAGGACTTCTGCTAACTGGTACAGGGGTGATTATTAAGGTGATGATTAACCTTCCTGGGGTTGTAATTCTCTCAGTAAGCCTGTGCATTTTGAGCTTGCCACCCAGGCTGGCACACATAGGAAACTGAGGCCGAGGAAGCGGCGTGAGTTTGAGCACCCAGAAGGGATGTAGCCTGTGCCTGGCTGAAGGAGTCAATTTATTTTTAAGAAGTCATTTTATTGCGGATGCTTTACAAGCCTTGCTTGTCAAGTTATTCAAGGCAGCTGAAGGAATCATAACCATGTCGCTGTTACTTGGGTGCCTCCATTCCCATAGGCATCTTAAAAGCTCCAGCCCTGCTTTGGATGTCCCTCAACACCCTTATCCTTTTGGCTGATGAGGGAGCTCACCGTTTCTCACTGCTGAGCCCGCAGTGTGCCCTCCAGGGATGCTCTGCCTGGTTTACTTTCTAAATTCCTGTTTGTTTTTTTTTGTTTTCACAGATTACAACAGCAGTGACTTAAAAACAGCGTGCAGAAAGCATGAGCTTTACGTTAGCTTCCAAGACTTGGGATGGCAGGTGTGTGATGTTTCTCTTTGGATAAACTAGACATTTTGTTATGAAATGTTATCTAAACAGTGTCACAGTAATTCCACTCGAGGCTGCCATTATGCTTTAAAATGTCCCTTGTGCCTCCTCACTAAAACCAGTCACAGGGAAGGGCAAATAAATATTGACAGTTGTGACATTTGATAAGATCCAGAGGAAGCTTGATGCTTTATGAGATTCAAGTATACAGCCATTCTCTGTCACTCGTGGGAGCCATGGTATGGGCAAGGGCTCATATCTGTGTACCTCTAATGATAAAGAAAAAAATCTGATGTTAAGCAGTGATATTAATGAAATCAAGGTTTTTTTTCTAGTGATCAGCCTAATTTTAACCTTGGCCATTGTGTCAAAATCCTTCGGTAGGTGGACTGAAGACTGGATTGAGTTGCAACGCCATGAGGCCAGAGTGTTGTTTAGAGTAAGCGCGTGCTTTAGGACCAGGCCATGGTGTCATCAAACATCATGTTTCAAAGAATGCTGTCATCATCTCTTTTTTGAATTTTTAAAAAATTTTTTAAAAAATTCTTTCATTCAGCACTTTTGTGAGGGAGGTGCCACTCCTGTCAGCTAATGTTTTTACCACATTATAATTCAAGAGGCCAGGGCTGCCCCTGCTGCTTCTGTAAGACCCTACACATGAAAGTCCTCTCCCAGCTAATGGGCCAGCAGCATTTTTTGAGGCTTATGTCAACTCCAGTCCACTAGCCACAACTGTGGCTGCATGCTGACGCCGTTCCCCATTACTTGTTAGTGGCTTTTTTTACTTGCGCACAGTCTTTCCACCTCCTCCGTAGCTCGCTTGCCCTGCTTCCAGGCAGGAAGCGTATTCCAGCTGTGAAGTGCGCGGTCTTGACACCAAAGGAGGTGAAATGCCTCCTGCTAATTGGTGATGCTTTTAATTTACCCTTTGGCTCTTTTGTGTCAGCAGCAGAGAAGCTGTGATTTTTTTTATTAGCCCTTGGGTGACGAGTCACCTTTGTCCACTGGGGCCACCTGCTTGCCCAGGCAGCTCAGGCTGGCTGTCCTGCCCCTCCTTTAGGAGGAGTCTGCCAGGGGTCGAGAAGCTGTTACACAGCTAAAACTTCCCCCAGTGGCCTTAGCAGACCCGTGTCCCTGTGTAAGGGTGTGTAAGGTAGAGTGTCTGTGAGGCACCACCCTAGTGTTTTATATTGCTGTTCTGGAGCTCCCTGGTTGAACTGTGTGTGTGCGCACACACACATATCACGTACATGATTTTCTCCGAGAGGGGACACCAGCTGAAGCTGTGACTCAACTTAGGCAAGGTAGTTCAGCCAGAAGACCTAACCTGCGGGAAATGTTGGAACATAAAGGCATCCAAACCACAATCCCCACAACGCAACCCAGCGAGAGTTTTAGGAATAAAACTCTTTTTAGTTCATGGCAGTTAAGCTGCACATAGATGTGCACCATTTTTTGGACATAAAAATCAGTGTGTCCATGGAAAAGACATGGCTCACAACAAAAACCCCAGACCCTAACAGTTTTCAGTGAAAACACATTTTCACCCTCAAGAAAAAAGTTAGTGGAAAATTTTCAGCTGCTCTTAATTGCATCCAGTTGTCTGTACAAGTTGGCAACTTTTTAATTTGAATCACGTTCTGTTTGTTTCCTAAAAAGGACTGGATAATCGCTCCAAAGGGCTACGCAGCCAACTACTGTGATGGGGAGTGCTCATTCCCACTCAACGCCCATATGAACGCAACCAACCATGCCATTGTACAAACCCTGGTAAGCCTCCAGAAAGCTCAATGCCAAAGGAATAGGTGAATTTGTAAATGAGTTACCATTGTCTCAGCTGTGTTTTCTTTCTTGGCAACAGGTTCATCTTATGAATCCTGATTACGTTCCCAAACCCTGCTGTGCACCTACCAAACTAAATGCCATATCTGTTCTTTATTTCGATGACAATTCTAACGTCATCTTGAAGAAATACAGGAATATGGTTGTAAGAGCTTGTGGATGTCACTGACAAACAGTCTTCACACGGACTCTATGATTCTACCATGAACTTCCCTACTCCCTTCCCTGCTTTCATGAACTACCTGACCTTGGAGAAAAAAATAATGGATGAACCACCTTTTAGAACACCACGTATGTGCCTTGTGGGAGAAAGGGGTGTGGGGACCACAGGCTGAGGCACGAGCAAACCGCTGGACTTCTTACAGACTGACCCTACACCGTGGTAGCTGCTCAGCTCTGCAGAGCCCGGGGGGCACACAGCAGCACTAGGCCCACACCTGCTTTATTTGGCTGGGACGGTCTTAATCTCAGCAGCTTGGCCTTAGCAGTTGCTTGGATGTGCGCTGCCATTTTACCAGACAGGCACCTGAAACAAGTGAGGGTTTGTTGTTTTGTTGTTTTTTTTTTTTTCTTTTTCCTGCAGTATTAGGGGAAGACAAGGGGAGAGACAGGGAAGCTGGAGTAAAGAAAGTGGTGTTAGTACTTCAGCCATCTTGTACAAGGTAATAAAAAATTCCTAGGGTTAGGAATTGCTTTTTGTCTAGAAGCACCAGTAACTACTCTTAGGCTGTTAGGTCTCCTCCTGACATCTGTCATGACAGTAAGCATTTTAAATTGTGCCAAAGCAACTGTTTCAGTTCTGTCATTCTCTGAGCACAGGTTAAGTCTGATCTTGCAAGCATAAGATGGCGGGGCTGTACCCTGCCTTAGGAGCACTAGCGTGAACACGGACCCAGGCTGGTCCTTCCAGGTCACTATTTGACTGAGCAATATAACTTTATACACTTGTTCTTATGCAACTTCCTTCCACTCCCCGCCATGGTGCTGCCTCATCTACTACCACTTGCCCAGGAAGGAAGACGGGACGCTTCTACAGCTGTAATTCAGACATAAAAGTTTAGGGGCCATTCATTCTCTAGCTGGACAATTTAGTTACAGGAAGACAGAATGTCAACAACATCAGCAAGTCTTTGGCCAACCTTTCCTCTTCAACTCACGCAACTGTCAAACTGGTGTAAAGGATACACTCACAGCCTAGCCACAGTTTGTCTAGCAGAAATTAATAGCAAATTGTTTTGATCAATATTAAAGTTGTATTAAATGCACTTACCTCTAATTCTTGCATTTAAAAGGCTTCTTGTAAATACAAGCTATAATTTATTGCACCTGTCACTGTATATTCATTGTGCTGTACCATTTATAGAAAGACTGCTTTTTAAAAAAGTGTTTATTTAGAAAAATCTCAGTGTAAACAATTGTACCACTTTGATTTTATATAAGAAACTCATGAGATTGTGCTTCACTAGAAAGTTGTTAAAAACTTGGTAATAAAGGCTTCCTTTAAGGCAGAAGCATATACATTGATCTAATACGTCTGCCAGTACAACACAGCTTTCATTGTAGCTTTTTCATCCTTACACAGTTGTAGATTGAACAGAATCAAAAGTTCTGGACAGACAGTGAAGTGAAGTACCAGGAGAAATTCACTGATGTAAAAGTTCATTGCTGTTTTGCCTTTTTTTTTTTTTTTTTAAAAAAAAAAAAACAACCAACCAAACCAAAACCCACACCACACCACAGCTTACTCCATATGATGGACAAAAATCAGCATCTTGACAGATTAGTCAAATTAGCCTGTAGCCATCCTCATTCCATGAGTTTCTGTGCACGTGAGACAGCAGAATTCAGTCCTTGGTTTGCTGTTGTCTTTGTATTGTGACGGTCTCTGCAGTGTAAATTCTTTGGCTTTCAGTTGTGTCTTACATGGAACATCTTGCGCATCAAAGAACAGATCCCTATTACAATCCAAGGCACCACAGAGCGCATGGTCCTAGCATTCAAACTTATCAACGCTTACAGCTTGGAAAAAGGTTAAGGCTCAAGAGGAGGGGGGAGCTATTGTACACTACTGTAGAGCAGCTGAGTGGAAAAAGAAAAATTAAACGTGGTTGTTCTCAAAGTACAAGGAGTAAGGAGCAGGTCAGCCCAAAGTCTGACTTCAGGTGAGGGTAGGAAACATGTACATGTCATCAGCTCTGAAGTCTAACTGAGCATTTAGTATCCACGGAGCAGTTATAGTAGTGCCTTTTCACTGTGGCTCTGTAGCAGTAGAGCATAGTTACTGCTCTGGAGCTGGACGGAAGCAGCCTACAAAAATCCACCTGACACATGTACACTACAGCATCAGTGATGTTCAGGCACGTGTTACAGTACCATCGCTTTCATTATGGCTAGACCTCCCATGCTGAGAGGGTTAACAGGGAACAACCAGCTCATGGTGGCCTGGTATCTTCCAAAGGTGTGTGTGTTTTCAGCCTCCCGTGACTTTCCATTTCTCAACCAGCAGCTATATTAAGACAAATAGGGTTTAAGTACAGTTGTAGAGGCAAAAGTGACTCAACACAGCTGTAGCTTTTACCTTTCTAGTAATGGTGGGCAGTTTGTAAGGACTAGTTTTTAACCAAATCCAACCTGAAGACAAAAATATTCTACTGGTGCCCTTAAGTTGGTTTTCTTAATGTATTTTAGTCTCAAAGGAAACCATTTACACTTCATTGCGGGAATGCAGAAATGCAGTAAACCTACCAATGCTGAAAATAGTCTCAATTTGCACAGTAACTACTTGTTAGTTTTCCTTCGCTAACAGGGTGGCATGTCTTTAACACACACACACACAGAGGGAAGATACCAATGTTTAGTACATTCAGTTTCCTAAAAAACAAACAAACACACACACACTAAACCAAAATGCCCCAATCCCCACCCCCGCCCCCAAACACACTATTTGAAAACTAGCAATGATTGAAATCCCTCAGCTACTGTACAAAGACAGCCAGGGATGGAGCATGAGGACTTTTATTACAATTCATCCCTTGCCTGACGCAAGACAAAGCTATGCAGTGATTCAAGGTCTCTCGTTCCATTGTGTTCACTGACTTTCTTCCCTCCTCGGAAAAGCAGAAGCGTCGGATAACCGCGTACCTTCAAAAGACACACACACACACAAAAAAAAGAAACTTGTTACTAATGTCCAAAGTCACTGATATCCATCACTTGCATTTACCTGACACTGAAAAGCCACCAAACCCCTCAAACAATAAGCCATTTGAATTTAAAAACCCAAACCCAAACACCACACCCGAAGTGCCGATGTCAACCTGCAGTTTCTGAACGTTTGTAAGTGAATAATACACGTTCCTCTCAGCTCTTGGAATGGCAGCTCCAGCTCCGTCTCCAGCACCAAAAGACTTTTTTTCCTAGGAACAGAACTTTGCCCTGGCTACCACAAGACAGCTTTGGTGCTTTCACAGAGGGAGGCTTCTTACATTAGGGACTTCTTCAGCTTTAGCCAATACTGAGAACGACTGGGTCTGAACAAACAGTCCAGGAATGAAATGGTGTCATCAGATGCTGCTCTGAACCAGTGCTTTTTTGGCTAACAGAGAACACAGCTGCACTGTTACCAGGCACCTGCAATGCAGCAGCCCGCTCAGCTGCATGCTGGAGCCTCTAACGTTTGGTACACAATGCTAGCCTGCTCCTTTCAGCTCTTCCACACTTACAGAAAATCGGCTGCAGACGTTACGTTCCACAGTGCAGTCTACTTCTGCTATTTTGACATCAGTCAAACCTGGAAATTGCTCTTTGGCAAGGTTCTCCCAAGTTGGAGCCAAGTTCTTACAGTGACCACACCTAGAGACAAAAGAGAGATTTGTTTAGCAGATATACCTTCCAGTTTATCTCTGCCATCTTGCTGCTGTAGCTGTACCTTTAACTAGCTGCCTTTCCTATCCCCTAATGCTTTGGCCCTCCGACTCCTTTGCGCTATTATGTCAGTAAACGAGCTAAGAAAATGAGCAATTTTATGTAAGTTAAGCACTGAAGTAGTTTCTGGCCTTCATTAGTCTCATCTGGAATGGTATTCTGGATGTTGGTACAGTAACAGTTTACCCTACAGACAAACATGAAGCCAAATAAAGACAAGCACAGAGAATATTTAAATTAAAAAAAAAAAAATTTGCTTAAAACATTTGTTTCTAAAAGTAAGGCATAGCATGTCTGTGGTCCACATTAAGTTTTCAGGCAGCATATGCCAGTTATACTAAAGCTACATAACCTGAGCTTAATTATTTAAACGAGATTTTAATTTCCCTATTAAATGTCTTCCAGTTCCCAACAGCATCCTTGACCAATGTAGCATCACCCAGTGCTGGAAACTCAATTTTAATAGAGGCATTTGTCAACACAGATTCTGTTTTTATCGAACACTCCGGTAGTTAAATGCGCTTTTTCACTGATGGTACTTTGCAGTTTAACCACCACTGCTCTACTTTCAGGCAGGTCTGCAATGGAACTGTTTGAGAGTCAGTAAGTTTCACTTCATAGATGGAAAAAAAAATAATATATCAGGCCCTACTCTGATTTGCATTAGAGAGAATCATTCCAGTTACATCATTGATAACACCAAAAAGCCTATTTCTATTTTATTCCCTTATGTCTCTACAGTAACATGAGAATGTGGTCCACAGATTACACACAATGAAACACTAGTGTCAAGAGTGAAAATGATACTGTAAAATGGTAGGAACTATAGTAAAGTATTGATTTTGTTTATATTTTGAACTTGGCTTAGCCCAGTTCATAACTTGAACTTCTTGCTGCCTGCAAGAAGAATTCCCACACGGCAGACTTTAAAGCTGCAGCGCTTGTTCTGGTCACCCAGCTGCACCTTAACTGGGTTATTAAAACAGCCCTGTGATTGCCTCGAGGCTGGATCAGGACATTTACAAAAATAATGAAAGATGTCTCTGCAAGAGTTTTCTTAATACAAGCCAGTGTATATTTAAACCACCTTGTTAATACACAGTGGCAGTATAAAAGCACTTCTGACCATGCACAAAAACTACTAGAAGAGGATGATTTTTATGCTTACTATGCAAGCTAACATTAATATTTACCCAAAACTAACTGAAAGACAGAACCACCAAGCAACATAATAGTGTTTGCTGA